GTCTGCGTGTCTGCGTGTCTGCGTGTCTGCGTGTCTGCGTGTCTGCGTGTCTGCGTGTCTGCGTGTCTGCGTGTCTGCGTGTGAGGGGGCTTCTCTCCTGGGCTTCTGCCTCGGCTGTTTCCGAGGGGGTTCTGCACACAAGGGTCCCCCTGTGGTGAAAAGCGAGCCCCTCAACATGTCGTCTTGTATTCCAGGGAACCTGAATCAGGAACCATGGCTGTGGAAGGAGGGATGAAGTGTGTGAAGTTCCTGCTCTTCTTTTTCAACTTCATCTTCTGGGTGAGTCGGTGCTCTCTCGGCGGAGGCCCCCCGGTATTCCAGCGGTCCCTCTCCGGAGGTCCTGCTCGCCAGCGGGGTTACAGCTGCTCAAGGAAACAGTCTTCACGCAGCCCGGGGCTCGTTTGACCAGTCCGTCAGGAGGTCCCATGTCAGCCTTTGCTGATCAAACTCGCCCACAGGTTTATTCCCAAGAAGCTTGTAAAACGATCGATCAGGGGATGTGCTTCATCATCGTGCCACCAGATCCTGAGCTGGTATACGACAGCACATGCAAGTGGTGGCCCCTGCATTGCAAACAAGATCTGCCGGTTTCATGAAACCGAACTGCTTGTTTTGTGAATTAGTGCATCTTAAATTTCTCGCTCACCCTGGCAAAAGGCAGTTCTGGCAGTCTCGTGAAGTCGCTCGTTTAAGAGGTGCCAGAATTAATGACTGTAGCAGCGTACTGTATACCGTGGTTTGCAAACATACTACATCATCTGTGACTTTTTTGGGGGGTGTTGCATATGTGTGTGTGTGTATACAAAAATATCAGAATTTTTTGCATGGTCACCTGATCTGAAACCAAGTCAAATCGGAAAGAGAGCCGTGCACAGAAGTGTACGAGTTGAAATATTTCATTTAGCCATTTCCTGAAAGGTGACAGGATATTGGCTTCTTTAACGTGGACGCCTAGCTTGTTCCAGACTCCTTCAGCATTTTGGGTTAAGAAGTGCTTCCTGTTCTCATCTTTTAAATGCCCTTTCCTGTAGTTTTCATTTGTCCACTAGGATGACTCAGTCAATGAATACCTCCGTCAAGGTGCTGTGTAGCCTGTTCTTTTTAGTCTTGAACAGAGAATACTACAAGGTGACCTGACTGAGGAACTCATCGACTGAGTCTTCCCATGTTCCTTTAGCTTGTAAAGGCTTTTAAACCGAGGAGAAGTCTGACTGCTCTTCTCTACTGAGAGAGAGACGTCTCCTAGACTGACTCCAGACCAGCAGGTTTTTTTTTGTACCTTTTATGTGAGGCGACCAAAATCTTACACCATATTCAAAGTGACTTCTTAATAATAGTCTCAATTTTAACGTAATGCCCCCTTCTTCAATGGCTGTACCTTTAACTACATGTCCTAAAGGTTTCCCAGATATTGGCGTAGCCAATAAAATCAGGCCAGGACCGTGCGCCAAGCGGTAGTATTTGAGGCCTTTTCCGTCGCGCTCTGTGTGCAGAGCAGTGTGAACCGGCGCCAGAATGAGTCTGGAGCGATGGAAAAGCAAATAGCTGGAGCTCGCTGACCTTGGCCCGGCTGGAGCGCCCACGTTTCAGTAGAGCGCCCGGCAGAGACTGGGGCGTCTCCAGCTGGAAGCCGGTCTTGTGAAGAGTGTGGTTCCGGTCGGGCAGCTGCTGTCCGATCCAGAGCGGTCCGGACCTGAAGGCGGCGTCACCGGTGGGTTTTCGTACCGCCAGGACTATGGGGGAGTTCTGTAGTAAAGAAGCTGTTTTGAGGCAAGAAGCTGTGTTTTGGCAGTGTAATGTCGGACTTGTCACCCCAAGCGGCCCTCTGTTTAGTGTAGCGTTTGTCCAAGGAGCCGCTGACGAGTTCCCAGCCACAGAGTCCTCAGCTAGGCCTGCGGCACGCTGACACCATATCCTGTTGCTAAACTTGTCTTCTTCGCAGCAGCTTTTAAGAGTAGGCCTGCCTCCTTTTCCTCGTGTGTGTTAAATCGCCACAGCCTAATGCAAAGCCAGTTATTTTGTAAAGCGCTTAAACCTCATAATTCGAGCCCCTGATGATTTTCGTGTTCCACCTGGTGAAAGCTAGAAACACCTCTGTTGTTAACTGGGAATTTTAAATAGTAAGAAAATGGGGCCACTGGATTTAACCATTAATTAGAATGCAAAAGGTGCACATCTTAATGAAATCAAGTTAAGGTCACGGTTGTTCTTGAGAGCACTAATCGGAAAGATGCTCCTCAATCTTGGGCTGCCAAAGCTCTGGTCTCTTCCTGGTTCTTGCGGCGGAGAGAATGTTTCTCCGAGGGCGGGTCGTGTTTCGCTTGAAAGCAAGTGGACGCGCGAGGGTGCCTGTTCAGTGGACTGTTGTCGGATACTGTCCGGAGTCGGCAAGCAGACGTTTTTCACTCTGGAACAGCAGCTCCCACTCCTGCAGCTCTGCTTTCTTTCAGTTGATTAAAAGCCCCGTCAAACCCTGAATTGGTCACCTATTAAGAGCTGCTGACGCAGAAATGAGAAAGAAGCCATATAATAAGCAAGTCCGGGGGAGAAGCATGGAGCTTTGTGTACTGGAAGCTTAGCAGCAACAAACACAATGAGCAAAAGTCAGGGGCTTTCAAGGGACATGCCTGTTAGTGCTTGCTTGTGCTCGGATCTGTGCTTGGACAAAAAAAAAAGACCTGCACTTCCTAATGCACGTGCAAAAAGAAAGAGATCAGCTCGGGTACCTGTACTGTGCAAGCGTACGTCAGTTTCTGCCAAGCTGTGCTGACTTGTTTGTTTTTTTTCACACTTCATGTGCAGCTTGAGCTTCTTGTTCTCTTTCGCTCCGGAAATGATTGTTAGATGGCAACAAGGAGAGTGTGAGATATGACCAGGCTTTGCTTTTATCTTTTTCATCTGCACAGCTGTCAGTCTACAGCGATACAGCAGTCTGCACTTTTGCTCAGCGATCGTTATTTTCCTCCTCGGCTTCACAGAGCTTCACAGTTTGGCCTCTTCTGCTTTATAGGCTTCTTTTTCACCCAGGTTTTTTCCCCATCTAGTTTATCTCCAGTCCTTCTGCTGCCTCTATCTTGTGCTTCAGCAGGTGCGATTAGTAAAGGTGCTTCCTGCTATCGCAGTCCGAGAAGGGAAGCGAGGGACCTCTGTGCTGATTTGCAGGGGCAGCAGTGTTCCTCGGAGGTCGCAGTAAGCCACCCCAGGGCTTTGCATAAGCCCCCAGGCCCTGTACTATCCCAGCCCCTCACTGGGATAGTATACTGGAAATTGAGCAACTGCAGTGCAGCTGAGCGCTGAATCATGTGGCTGCAGCGCTGCTCTGCTGCTCTGCTCTCGGGCCGCTCGCTGCTCCACGTGGTTCGTTTCCGGGCAGCAGACTTACTCAGCTTTCCTTTCAGGGGTGGGAGGGAGCAACAGGATGCAATTCCTGGAGACGGGAGACCAGATCTGGAGCGCTGGGCAGCTCCGTCTGGCTCTGATCTGCCATTGATTGTTTTCTGGGATGTGGCTGTTGGGGAGGATTTTAAATGATCTCCCGGACTTGGTGGCTGGAAGAGAAAGGGTGGGGTTTTTCACATGGACTGCTTGGCTCTGCTCTGCACAGCTGTTTGGCTGTTCACGTCGCGTGCTCTACCTGGAAAAGCCTCACGCTGACGAAGTTCATTAGCGGGTGCTGGGATGAACTCCTATCCTTAATTGGAACTGGGACGGCTCCTTAATGCTGATCTGATGCTAAATCACAGGCACCAGCCCAGCCCCTGTCAGAACTTGTGATCCCAGTAAAGCAATAACGTTTTCATCAGTCCCGGATCATCTCGGATCCAGTCCCAAGCTGGAATGAAGTGCTCTTTTTTTCTGAAAGAGGATTTAAAGGTGTGAGAGTCCAGGTCTGTGAGGCCTGATTGGTCGGCAGCATCCACTCACAAGGTCGTGCTGGGACCGGTGTGGCCAGGTGTAGAGTTGGGGGAAGGTACATCAGGGTGTGGATTATAGCCCATGGGCATCTGCTAGAATTTTGTGCATGGCTGACATTTCGGCTCCAGGCTGGACCATTCACCCCTAAATCAGGATAATGCAAATAACAGGCAAACGTGTCCCAAAGATGACGACAAAGATTATAGCTGTACAACAACAAAACACATGGAAGAACTAGCGTCATGCTGGTGGCCAATTAACAAATACCCGATAGCCCTGATTAGGATGTCAAAGGGGTCCGACTTCATTTAAATGGCAAAAACAAACCTGTTGGAGCTGGGGGTGGGGGGCGTGCTCATTGAACAGCATCAGTTGAGCAGCGATGTCAGTCTCACTAGTTTATTATTGCTGCTGATCTGGCCGGGGCTTCAGGCATCGGGTTCAAGCTAGAAAGCATGGCTGGAACGCACAGCGAAGTGGCACAACGGAGGAGAAGTTATCAAACAGGAGCTGCTTTGTGTAGATTGGCGCAGTTTAGATCGGGCCTAGAGAAGTTTGTTCAGATGGCCGATTCTAGCAATAACCTGTGGTTTTCAAGGGGAGAAAGCTCATTGCAAACATGCAGCATAGGCCGTTGGGAAATAAGAGCTTCTGTAACGTGGTAAATACCACCATCGGGGCTGAAAGAACAGCCTGGGAGGGCTTCAGTAATATTCAAATGAGTACTGCTGTATTTTAAAAGATCAGGGCAGATTTGCATTGACAGGATCACTTGTGATATCAAAATGGTCATAAAAAACACCTGATACTACCATCCTCCAGCTCAAAAACACACTTATCTCCAATCTCCTTTACTCACAAATGGACTGATCCTGGGCACTTTGCCCCGAGTCAAACCTGCCTTTTTAAAGTGACAAACAATATTGAGTGTTAAATGTATATGCAAAAGCCCGAGTGGAACCCGAGCCCTGTGTTTTCAGAATCTGTGACCTCGTTTACCAAATCCAGGCTTATTATTATGAGTTTACGAATAAGCTCCATGAGTACTTTGAAGGAGCCACTGCCAAGATTTCTGTGTGTTTTGCTTTTACAGATGCGACCTGTGTAACCTCAGGAGATTTATAAGGATTGAGTTAGCCCTGAAACGCTAGGAGACGGGCTTGCATACATCTGTATTCTCTATACTGCTGCTCTCCCTGTTGTGTGATTCTTACCCTGCAGTGTGCGGGACCCCTGTTCCTGCACAGGAAACGGGCAAGACTGCAGCATGGCTCAACCGTGCAACAAGGTTGCCCCGGGGGCCCAGTGTCACGGCACAGCTTGCGTTTCTTCCTCCAGCAGCTACCGACGAGCCCTGCCGCAAG